GAGGATTTCAAAATCAAAAAGAAATGAAATGAACTTCAACAAGCCGAAGCTTATTTATCATTGCAGTCATAAAATATGACGAACATAATACATAAAGGCTGAACTACATCGAGACAATGTCGATTTTTCTAATCATTTTCTATATTCAGTGGTCCGATTTATATGAATCAGCATCGCTTAAGAGCTGTTGGATGACGTCAACGGACAGAAAAGCCAAGACCGAAAAAATCGTGCCAACCAATCGAACAGTATTATCTGGAAGTTATGCGCTGTTTGCGAACTTCGAACTTTTCTTGACAAAGGCATGTGATTTGAATTTGTTTTCAACTGGCAAATGACACTTCTCTCTGTACTGTGATAAAATGTTATCTGTTATTTAAAAAAAAATAAACAAAATTAAATTAAGGTTACGAAGAACGACACTTAGCTGAGAAGCGCCGTAGAGTTGCCTCTAACACTCAGCGCTTCACCGAAACAATCAGAAATACCCTGTGCAGCTAGGTTCTCCTCCACTTGGTCCTTCCATCGGACCTTTGGTCGTCCCCTTCGTCGTCGCCCGTAGTCGACCCTCGCTTCAAATACCTTCTTAGCTGGATATTCTTCATCCATGCGAACGACGTGGCCGAGCCAGCGCAGACGTTGTATCGTGATGCACCGGACCACGTCGTACAACTCGTACAGCTCGTGGTTCACTTTAAGTGCTGCTGCATCCGTCAGTGATATTACCCATGCTTCTGCGCCATATAAAAGCACGAGTAGGATGAGTGTCTTGTAGAGTGTTAATTTTGTTCGGCGAGATAGGTCTCTATTGCACATTTGCTTACTCAGACCAAAGTAGCACCTATTGGCAAGTGTGATTCTTCGCTTGATCTCCAGGCTGACGTCAATTTCGGTGTCAATGGCAGTGCCAAGGTACCTGAACTCCTTGACCACTTCGAAGGTACAGCTATCCGCTACCACATGGGAGTCTAGGCGCCGCGCCTCCCTGCTTGTCGACAGCATATACTTCGTCTTGCCCTCGTTTACCGCCAAACCTTATTTTTCCGACTCTTTTTATGATAGCGGAAAATGAAGCAGTGACATCACGCTTGCTGCGGCCAATGATTTCGATATAATCGGCATAAGCAAGGAGCTGGACACTTTTATAAAAATAGTCCCAGATCGATGTACACCGGCTTTCCGCAGAACCACTTCCATCACGAAATTGAAAAGGTCGCACGACAGAGGTCACCTTGTCTGAAACCTCGAACGGTATTAAAAGGTTCGGAGAGGTTCGTTCCTACCTTGACAGAGCTGATGGTGCTGCTCAATGTCATTCTGCAAAGACGTATTAGCTTTGCAGGAATACCGAACTCAGACATGGTGGCATATAGGCGTTCCCTATCGAATGCAGCTTTATAATCGACAAAGAGATGGTGTGTGTTAATGTTTTTCTCGTGGGTTTTTTCCAGGAATTGGCGTAATGTGAAGATCTGGTCTATGGTGGACTTACCAGGTCTGAAGCCGCACTGATAAGGTCCGATCAGTGTGCTGGTATACGGCTACAGTCGTTCACATATTACGCTCGATAGAACCTTGTATGAGATGGTAATCAGGCTGATTCCCCGGTAGTTGGCGCATATCGTCGGGTCACCTTTCTTCAGTACAGGACAAAAGACGCTGAGATTCCAATCGTTGGGAATGCTTTCATTTAGCCATATTTTGCACAAGAGCTGATGCATGCACCTTATCAGCTCTTCGCCGCCGGCCTTAAACAACTCTGCAGGCAGTCCATCAGCACCGGCTGATGGTTGTTTTTGAGCAACTCGGACCGCGTCATGGCTAGGTAATGGTATATCCACATTGTCGTCGATTGGTGGTATCGGGCTGCTTCCTCCAATGGCGGGATTGGTGCCGTCATCGCCTGCTAGCTGCTTGGAATAATGCTCTCTCCATAACCCTAGCATCCACTGCGTATCCGTAACCAGATTTCCATTTTCATCACGACAGTTAGGTGCTCCGGTCTTCAAACCTTGTGTTAGACGGCTGACTTTTTGGTAGAATTTTCAAACATCATTCCTGTTCTGCAACACCTCAAGCTCCTCGCTTTTCTTGCTCCCGTTTTTTCCGTCTGAAAAGTCGCCTCTCTTCCTTCCTTTTCTACTGCAGCGTTTTTCTGTGGGCGGCGTTTTTTGCTGCAGCTGCGACGCGACACTCCTCGTCATACCATTGGTTCCGTGTGGGTGGGCGCTTGAACCCAATGGCTGTTTCAGCAGCAGCTCGCATGGAGTGGGATATGTGCGCCCAGAGTCCGCCGGCGTCAACAGGGAGAGGGATAGGTTGGCGGATCAGTTCCAAGCGGTGAGGGGAGTAGGCTATTGCTGTCCGTTGTGATCGCAGCCTAGTGACGTCCAGCTTTCGTTGCGTAATGGGGCGTATGTTTTCGCTCGGCATAGCCGCAAGCGTATTTTGGCTGCGACAAGATAGTGGTCCGCGTCAATGTTGATTCCACAAAACGTACGCACGTCCATCACGCTTGAGGCATGCCTTCCGTCTATCACAACGTGATCAATTTTTTCGCACGTTCTTTGATCAGGGGACAGACATGTGGCCTTGTGGATGTCGAGGTGTGGAAATCTGGTGCTACTCACAACCATGTTTCGTGCCGCGGCGAAATCAATCAGCCTAAGACCGTTGTTCGAGGTGGTCTCATGGAGGCTGAAACGACCGACGGTGGGGTCAAAAATGCGTTCGCGCCCAACCTTTGCGTTGAAGTCCCCGAGGATGATCTTCACGTCGTGGTCTGGGCAGCGGTCGTATGTGTCCTCGAGTCTCGCGTAGAATGCATCCTTAACAGTGACGTCCATCACTTCCGTCGGGGCGTGCGCACAAATTATGCTAAGATTAAAAAAAATCTAGCTTTGACGCGGATTGTAGCCAGCCGTTCACTCACTGGGGTCAAATTGGAGACGTGGTGACGAAGTCTCCGGCTTACTACAAATCCGCATCCAATTTCGCGCCTCTCCGCATGGCAGCTGTTGTAGATATCGGAGTTTGCTCTCTTGGAGCAACCTTGTCCTGTCCATCTCATTTCCTGGATGGCGGTAATGTAAGCCATTAATATTTCGAGGGCATCCGCCAGTTGGATAGAGGCACCTTCTCAATTAAGGGTTCGGATATTCCAGGTGCATATCCTCAAATCGTAGTCCTTCTTCATTTTGCGGCGGTCGTCAACATAATGGGTGATATTATCCGAGGCTTTCGCTTGGGTCTTCACTGGGCTTCTTTTTTACGAGGCGGGTTCCAAACCCTGCGCTCAACCTTTTAACGTCCGGATTGCCGATCGAAATAACCGTGGCGCCAAGCCACGCAAACAGCGTAACCAATTATAAACAAAGCGTAAATCATAAATAAATATAAATACAGTCGACTCTCGTTAATTCAAACCTGCGATAATTCGAACCTCTCTATAATTCAAAGTTATCACGAGGTCCCTACGAAATCTCTTTATATTTCGAACTAAATCAATACATTTTCATACACTTGGTAATTCGAACGAAAAATTAATTGATATTTAACAAAACCACGCGTTAATTCGAAGTCATCAGCGTCTAACACTCGACAATTCAAAGTTGCAGAGAAAAAAGGCGGAAATTTTGGGACAAGTTCAAACTTGCCTTTGTTTTTGTTTTAATTATGTATGTAGTTTGACCATTTGACGCACACACTTCTTACGAATTGGTTTGTGTACTTATTCAGTCGCTGTTACTATTTCGCTGGTATGCATATTAAAAGTTAGTGTTAGCTATGAGCCCTAGAAAGTATAAAGAACCTTTGGCAGAGGTGTCAGTTAAGGAAGAAAAAACCTCATTTGATACCTTATAAAGCTTATGTCTACAAAACGAAAGTGATGAAAAAGCATTTCAGGCACTTTTTCTCTTAAAAAAAGTTATTGAGCAGTGTGAGCAGCAGAATTGTGCTTTAAAGCAAACCAGTATAACGAAGTTCTTTCGAAAGATTAATTAATTCACATTACGAATACATGTACGTCCACGAATGTACCTCTTAATTCTTATCATTTTTATATTAATAAATAAAAATTAAGAAACACTTAATAATTCGAAGTTTTATTTATTTTCTCTCGCAAATTTCGAACCATTTGATATTTCAAACACTCGATAATTCGAAATATTTCAAGAGTCCCTCGAGTTTCGAATTAACGAGAGTCGACTGTACTTATTTATGACACGAAATATAACGCTAATAGCCAAAATTGAAAACGCAATGCTCACAATCACTCTTATTATAAACTTAAAGTTTATATTAGTGGGTCAACCCTTTGAGTTTCCCATAATAAGACTAATAGATGCGTCCTATGTAGAAATTCTTCAGTGAGATAATACCTTTTAAGTTGTAATTGAATACCCTAAGACTTAGCTTACATACACAAACGTTACCATAAAAATGGTAACTCAATTAGAAGGACTACCAGTAGCTGAAAGTTATTACATCATCATTTAAAGCTACAGCTAGCACAAAAGCTTAGGAAGGAAGTGAAATCCAATAGACGGACTAACATCTGGTTAGCTTCAGCGTGGGCATCAGCATTCTCGTCAGCGGCCTTATCCTGCCACATCGTGTGTTTAGTAGGAGACAAGATACAAGGGAAGAATAAGTTTAAGTTGACAAAGGTCGGTCATGTTCTAAAATAATACCAGGGCTGCTATCAAAGACGTCCGGAGCAACGATGAATTTTTCATATGCTTGCTTGACTAGTTTGTTTGGATTAGTAAATTAAATGATTATAGCAAGGTTTTTTAAGACCATATATATACCGAGATCTCGACGGGCAGACATCAGGATTCATTTATAAAATAATATTATGGGTTGCAAGAGCCTCCTTCCACCTGTTACAAGGGTGGCTTTAACGAGTTTATATCAAATAGCCAGGCCGAGTGTTAGCAAGATATTAATACGAAAATCTATTACTGCTTAAATTTTAACAATTAAGGCATACGTACGGAAGTTGACCTTTAACATCCTTTTGATCTTCACACGATAAGATCGCATAACCTGGCATATTTTCTCCAGAGTCATACCAGCCAAGCTCAGAACGCAGTTGGGCAAAGCAATCCAAGTGATGCCACAGGGGCTGGCCTCCATACTTCATACCTATTTCAGTATCATAAACAGTTTTTCGTAATCGAAGTTGATCCTTTGTTATTGTTTGTTCACACCCACGACACTTTGACCGACTTGATTTCGCATATTCAATTCCAAAGTCTTTCACAGCTGCTTTATGGGCCTTAGAGCGCTTTCCAGTTTTTGCAAGTATAACACGCTCCAGGTTTCCTAAGTAAACCATATATATATTTATATAAAAACACACCCAAAACCTAATAATGGACTTACCAACACGATCCGACAAATCCTTTTGGTCAATAAATCGAAGATTTTCAAAATTCTTGATGTCTCCCACAGAACCAGGACGTTGATTTTCAAAGAAACAATTTATATGAAACCAATTTGGTACCTTTGCGTCATGAAAGGCAGACTATTAGAGAAAAGGTGGAGTATACAAATAAATTAGAAATGATGACCAGTATGAATAGAAACAAGAAAGGAATCTAGTTTCGCCGAACCGATGAACTTATATACCCTTGCAGTCATCAAATAGTTCGAAAAAAACACATAAAGGCTGAACAAAATCGAAGCTATGTCGATTTTTCTATAAAGTTTTATATGACAGCAATACGATATAGTCGTCCGATTTCCCCGTTGAAAGTATCCATTAATACGTAATTAAAGGTAGTAGGCACAGCTTTATTTATTTTTTAACGGTGTTAAAATAGTGGTAGTGGCCAACGCAAAGCTTAATTACAAACTGGAAAAATATAAATATAGAAGCGAAAGGACGCTGGCAGCAGTGCCAAACAGCAAGGGTATTAATCCCCTGCAAATTTAACATCCAAAACAAATAAAACGAAATCTGAACTAATGCCGGCAACCAAGCCAATAAATAGTGCACCCAGTAAATCGACGTGTCAATGCCACCAAAGACAACAACAGCAACAAGACGAGCGCCGACTCTCCGTTGCTCGGGATAGAGCGAAGTTTTCGTATGTTTCACCGGAGCCAAAATCTAATGCAATGTAGTCGACCGCGCAGGACGCCCCAACTTCTAAAGCCAAACAGCGCTGCCGCATGGTACAACTACACAAGGTAGTCCCGTCGGCTCGTTACTCCCCTATCGACACTACAATTAGAGCGAGAGAAAGAGTGTTTTGCTACGAAAACCCGAGCATTCGGGTCGATAGGGGAGTGAACCCGAACAATTCTGCAGCCGACGGGACTACCTTGTATAATTGTACCATGCGCTGCCGCTACTCAATCGTGGAGTGCACAATGCCCTTCGCCCTCTTTGGTCATCTCTTCTCTGCAATAACAACAACAACCACGTTTACTTCGTCGTTGACTCACCAGCCAATTTTCTTATTGCAAACTGGTCTCGGCTCTGCAGTTTCTCTCCCAAAATACACGGTAGTCTCGTCGGCTGCCTAATCGTTCGGTTTTTAAACAGTGCGTTTGTGCTTGTTGAAGGAAAAGCATATGTGCGGACGATTTTTTTTCAGAGCATTAACCCTTGTGCAAAGATGTCGTTCTACCCTTGGCTGCAAAATTTCTTGCATGTACCTTCAGATTATTTTAGTATAACAAAAAATGTAAAGGAGAAACTATTAATAGCTGCAAAAAAACATAAGTTTAGATATAAAAAAATTTTACTTTAAGAGTGACATTTTTTTTTAAATTAAGAACCTGAACCAGAGCTTGCAAATAACAGTCGACCGTTTTTCTTCCTGTGCTCTCGGTGCAAGCACAACCGAAAAAGCTTATAATCTGTCGCTCTCGTTCTGAGCAAGAGACCCTTTCTGTCATCATTTGTGTTTTCTGTTGAGCGCTTTTCGATGAGCTCTTTGTTTTTCGGTCTTTCAATGAGCAATTCGTAAGGAGCGAAACGAGAAACGCTCGTACAATGAGTCAGCAAAAGACCGATTGACCGAAAAACTCAACCCAAACGGTCTTCACATTTACTTTTGTTGTTGTGAAATAGAAATACAAGCTTATTTCGAAGCAAGAATAAAAAAAAGTTTTAAGTCAATACTAGCAAAGATATCAAAAAAATTTTAACGCAGTAATTTTAGGAATCTCGTATATTATAAAAATAATAACAAAAGTTTTTCTGATTTAAGGAACAAAATAACTTTTCATACAAAAACTAAAAAATACGGCGGTTCTGACGCCCAAACTTATTTAGTGCAAGCACTTTAATGTTATATAACTTATTTAATTCTTAAATTTATAATTTTTTTTTAAAACCCTTCTTTTAAAGGGCTTTTAATTCTTTTCGCAAAGATTTGAACATTTTTCTAGTTGTCTTCACGGGAATTCTACCCCATTTCTCCAACAGGCAAATCTTAAGATCATTTTCAATTAAAAATGCACTTTTCCGAACCGCCAATTCCAAAATTTCCCACAAATGTTCATTTCTGGCAATAGGCTTTGGGTCATTGTCATAGTTGAATCTAAATTGATTCCATTTACCTAAGTTATCGACATTAAACACCGCTCCATATAACGTCTCCCAACTGGCTTAAAATAATTAAATATTGATTCGTCTGCAGAAATTTTGTTTTATTCTTGCACGAAATAAGCTTCGAGCCACTGTAAATAGAAATTTATTAAAAAGAACAATTTAAATTTATTATTATTTATTATAAAATTTTATATATTATTAATATTTTTTATACATTATGTGTTAAGCTTTATTACTAGTAGGGCGTTCAGATTCTCTGCACTTATCGAACCTCTTCGTTCACTTAATATAAAGTGTAGGGCTGAGAATGCCCGTTCGACGGAACCTTGCGTTGCAGGTGTAGCCAGCACAACCTGGGCTAGTGCACTAATGTGGGGTAACTTAAGCTGGAGGTCATTAAAAAGTTCCAATATATTTGAGTTTAATGGCAAGCGACCAAAAGTAACGTCGAAATTTTCGATGTCACCATAAACTTCGACAAGTTTTGGAGAAACAGGATCTTTTTTGCTGTCTGTCACTGTTTGAAACTTGTCCAAAAATGCCGAGAACAGCGACTTTTCTTCAGATGAGGATGCGGTTGAAAATATTGACGAGATTGAGCAGTCCAACATCTCTTCACGCACAGGAACTTCGGGCGCTGGAACATTTCGTGTTTGTGCCTTAAATAATTAAATGATAATAAGTATGAAATGTTTTTTGGATTTTAGTTTAGTACAAGTATTAGTTTTTGACAAAGACAATTTTAATTATTAACATAGTTTTTCAAAATTACAACATAAACAAAACAGGACCCACATTTCAAACATTATTCGACATAGAGCTTACTTGTTTTAACTCAAATAAACGAAAAGCAATTTTTTTTAAATTAGCCTTTGCTAACGATTTCTGAACGCTCGTCAACATACAATTTACCCGAGGATCCATGTAAATTGCTACCAACACTGCTTCATTTTCCAGCAAATTGTTGTCCCTTATTTTTATGTGTGTAGCTAGTTATTTTTTTATCATATTGTGGCTGTTATCGCATTTCAATTTTAGCTCCATCCATACTTCGAAGAACTCACTATAAACTAAATTTTGTTCTTGTAGCTTTAGGGTTGCCTGGTATGAATCACTGAAAGCGTCAATGTACATCTCGATCCAATCCCAATCGGCATCTACACAAATATTAAACTGCGTAGCCAAGAAATCCTTTAGGTCCAATAATTTTTTTAACATTAAATATGTTGAATTCCACCTTGTAGAAACGTCGAGCGATGGTATATTTTTTGGTTGTCCATTAGGATACGTCTGCATAGATGTTATAAATAGTATGTATGTATATATATATATGTATATATATATATATATGTATATATATATATATATATGTATATATATATATATATATATATATATATATATATAAATATATATAACTTATCATATAAATATATATACCTTATCATTATTTACCTATATGTTTCTGTGCGCAGCGTTTTGCATAATGTGCGACAGGAACTTATTTTATCAGCGATCTCCTTCGACTTGTTTACATCGAATACACACAGTTGGAGAGTGTGTGCTGCACATCTCACAAGGTGTATATTGGCAAGTTCAATGGAATCCAGTTCTTTTAAAAGATTCTCACTTTCTGAGTCTTCCTCGAAAAGGGATTCCTCTGTGGCATCATTTAACACCTGGACGGCTTATATCATGTTTCGACCATTATCTGAGGTAATGCTGTGTGCATAAATATGAAAATTCTTTAAAAAATCGCATATTATAAAAATTGTATGTAGTTCAATATTTACCTGTAGATTTGGTCTAGTGATATTCCATAATCATCTAAGGTTTCAACAATTTTTTTCTTCATATATATCCCAGTGTGAGATTCCTCGAGCTCAATCATGCCTAAAGTCTTCACAATTATCTCGCTTTTAGCCAGGCTTGCGTGGACCATTTGTAGCGACACGAGCTTTCCCTTCACAAGAGCCCTTATGTTCTCTTTAACCAACTGTTCTTTGACTGACACAAACTGCATATTATTTCTAGAAGTTACAGGGTTCATGCCGAGTGCATTATAAATTGGATCCATTATTTCTCTGAACCCTTCACTATCTAGAAATAGAAATGGTTTTCCGTCCGTGGTAACTATTTTTATTAAAGAAGAAACAATGGCGTCTTCGCTCGTTTGAAACGATATCTTTCGTTTCTCTTCACATTGGGTGTCCTGCCCAGAGTTTTTCCACTCATTGAAAATCTCCACATGTTTTGATGTCAAATGCCTTCTTAAATTTGTGGAATGATTGCCGGACAATTTAACACCGCAAACACTACAAGTAGACTTATTTTCTTCCAAATTATATTTGAAGAATTGGGGCACTGTTTTATTCGGGTTTCTTCCCATTTTACACAACCAACATTTCTCAACTTGTCACACGCAATTCACAATCTCAATTAAAATATTTCCTCTGCAAATGTATACCAATACATACGCAAAAGACCTTTTGCTTCACAAAACACGACAAAACGGTCTTGGAAGAAAGGAAGCTAGCTTCGGCAAGTCGAAGCTTATATACCCTTGCAGTCATCAAATATGTCGAACAAAATGCATAAAGGCTAAACAACATCGAAGCCATAACGATTTTTCTATTTATTTTCCATATTTCCGACTATAGATCAAATGGGAGCTATATGATATAGTTGTCCGATTTTGATCAAATTTAATTCGTAATTTAAGAGTCGTAAGAAAACTCTATATTTCAAAAATCATACTTGTCTGATGAAAAACCACGATGTTATAATTTTACTTCCGTTATTTCTATATAGATTTTTCGATCTTTCCTATGTCAGCTATAAGATATAGTTGTCCGATTTTTATGAAACTTTTTTCTCAATATAAGAGTTGTTAAAAAACTTGATATTCAAAAAATCATGCTCATGGGATAAAAAACAACGATGTTATCAATTTATTTCCA